AATACCTGAACTTGTGCACTTGGTTAATCTCTGCTTGGAAAAAAGGTATCTTCCCAGAAAACATGAAAATTGCAGTTGTCAAACCTATTTACAAAGCTGGCAACAAAAGCAGCATGTGTAACTATAGACCAATAAGTATTTTGCCTTATATCTCAAAACTTGTTGAAAAGATAATTCACAAAAGACTCATGGAATATCTCCTGCAACATAATATATTGTCTGCTAGCCAATTTGGCTTTCAAAAGTCACTTTCAACATATATGCCCATACTTCTCCTGCAGGATACAATAATGAAAGTATTTGAAAAAGGCAACATTGCCATAGCTCTGTACATCGATTTAAAAAAAGCATTTGATACTGTAGATCATGACATACTAATAAGAAAATGTAGCAAATATGGCATTGTTGAGCAAGCACTTAGCCTGATAGAATCTTACCTTACTAATAGAAAACAATGCGTAGAATATAACAGTGCAAGATCTTCAATAGAAAATGTAAACATTGGTGTACCCCAGGGCTCCATTCTTGGTCCTTTGCTTTTCTTACTTTATGTAAATGATCTTCCAAATATTTGTAAAACAGCACAATGTTTACTGTATGCAGATGATACAGTCTTCATTTTTGAAGGTGGAACAGCGTTCCAGCTTCAAAATATGATTGACGTTGAATTGCCCATTATATGCACGTGGTTGCAAGCAAATAAACTTAGCCTCAACACAAAGAAAACAGTGTATCAAATCTACAATAATACACTCAATCCAGCAGAACTTAATGTAACATTAAATGGTGATCCTATTGAGGCTGTTCAATCAGTCAAGTACTTAGGAATGATTATAGATCCGAACCTTAAATGGAATCTCCATATTGACCACTTAACAACAGTTATCAGTCGTAACATTGGGGTAATGAGCAGAGCAAAATTTTTCCTTGATACTCATTTGCTAACTCTTTTGTACAATTCACTGGTCTTACCATATATCAATTATTGTTGTGTGGTGTGGGGATTCACATTTCCTTCTTACTTAAACAAAATTGAGTTGCTTCAGAAGCGAGCCATTCGTATTATTACTCATCAACATCGTTTAGCACACACAGAGGAAATTTTCAAAAGCCTTAAGCTTCTCAAAGTTCATAATATAGCAAAACAGCAGGCTATTATCTTATTGCACAGAAAACTTTCTTTTTCTCTCCCATCATCTGTTGGTGGATTATTTACCCTTAGTGACCCTAGCGATTCAAGGACCAGAAATCGTCAACAGTTCATTGAACCATTTATAAAAAGATTATACTGCACTCGTAATGTAACATGGCTTGGGCCTCGCATCTGGAATGAAATTATGGCAACTCAATTTAACGCTCAATGCATTATCAACATGTCTAAATTGCAAGTAAAGAAAATAAGTAAGGAGTATTTCCTAGAACACCCTGTGTAGCTTTTGTTTACATAAGTTCAATAATCAATAGTAAAATATGCAAATAAATAAGGTACTTTCAAATAGAATAATATGCATGCGTTGTATCACGTTGTAGTTTTTTATTCAACTCCTCCAAACACCTACTCGTATAGCGTAGCCTGTCAGCCATAGTGACTGTGGCTTACACCGAGCCCACCCTTACGGCGTTGTGACCGGTGACCCCGACCAGCAACAAGCTCTGCTTAGCTGGAAGGGTTCATCCGGTCACACATGACCTTTTGCAGAATACTGACCAGAACCTGTGCTTTGTGTGTATGTAGGTGTCCCTTTACTAACCCTGAATGAGTGTTCTTTTACATCATAAAACATGGTATTGGAAGTAGTGATTTAGTCTCCCGCTGCTTTCAGCGGGGACATCTTTTGCCGTTTTTTTTTTCTTCTAACTAACCATACTTCCTCTTACCGACTGGTTGCTTACTTTGAGTTGTTTTCCGTTTCTTAGCAGGGAGTGCCGCGACTTTGCCATTTTTATGTTTTCTCTGGTGGTAAAGTAAGGTTCTGTGAGTCGCTGGGCTGAGGGAGGGGGCACTCCTGGTCACCTATTAATGGGTGGCGGTGTAGTTAGAAAAAAAAAAGAGGTGAGGCGACATTCTTTGTGAGGTGATACCAGCGACACCTGACATTTCCTCGTTCTTCAGTCAAGGAGGAGGTCAAGGTCAGGTCAGGCCAAAACTGGTTGGGTGTTGGATGTTCCAAATGGGTGTTCTGATGGGCGATTGAGTAAACAAGAAACATCAGAACAGCCCGGTTTGTCGTAGGTTTTATCATAGTTTAATAAATAACCATAGTGTTATTTATTACACTATGGTTTTATCTTTAAAGGAAGGGTGCCACCTTCCGAAATTTTTGTTCTATGAATCTATTTTACTTATTTGAATTTTTAGACGTGGTTAGCGCGTCCACAATATACAAAAAACCGAAACATTGCATTTAATACATTGGCCAAAAAAAAGATAGTTGTTTATATCACCACTACAACTCAAGGTCGTTTGATGTGGCAGCTAGGACGGCTGGCATATCCTGTTGTCATGGCAACATATCATTCTGCCATTTGCATTGATGGCGCAACTGAGACAAAAAGATGAACAAATAAAAAGGAAGAAGATAACATGATTTGAACTAAGTTGTAGGTAACCAAGTAGGTAACTGTTGGCCATACACATGTTACGCGGAGATACGTCAAAAGAACATCAAATAAGTCGAGTAAAGGTTTTTCCTTTACAATGCTTAAGAGATCTATGGAACCCTTCACCCTTCATGCAACTTACTAGAAAAACTTCCCAATTAAAATTTTAAAACTTAAGTGTATACCATAAAGAAAAATATACCCTTTCAAAATGATAAAACATGCTTCAAAAGTATAACTTTTATGCATACCTTTCCTGATTTCATGTTTTATAAAATACCCTTAACACGACGAGGAAATAGTGCTGAAGATTTTTGCCTGCCCGAATGCTGGCAGCAAAACTCGCAAATGATAACTTCACGTGCGGATTCAATGCTGACCGTCTCGAGCATAGGTAAGTGAAGCCGGTTTTTAGGTTCATGTGAGGCTAATCTTGTAAAAACTGCGTTGTGTCCAAAAGGTGGCACCCTTCTTAACGTGTCCCGTTAATCATGGCCCAAATGAGGCATTGGGATTTTGGTTCCAGCTCAAAGTCGGGTAAGTTTTTTTTGGGAATATCATAAATGCTGAGATCAGAGCGTCGTCTTTTTGACATATCTTATCATGCGTCTTTTCACACATGCCTTTTGAATTTTCGCTCATGGTCCGAGATCAGAATATGGGTTTGCGTTAACCCTCGCCCGTAAACGGTGTTTTGCCACCATCGCCCATGCAGGGGGGTTGGTGCGACCCCCCCCCCCTGGCGTTTGAAAACAGAGCATCGTAGAGCTTAGCGGAAAAGACCAACGGATTGCTCTCAACAAGATCTCGCGATTGGTGGTATATTTTTTGGTCCTAGGTCAACATTTGACCTACTTATGACCGGTCAAAGGTCAAATTTTCGGAAAAATCTAACTTTTTCAGATTTCCGCGCAGATTGCGGCAAAACGGTAAGAGATATCGACTTAAAACCTTCACTATCGTGATCCTTGATCAATTCTCTATCGTTTGGTGTGTATTTCGATGTCATAACTCTAAAAATGATGCGTTGGGAGCATCGGAAGTCTGCAAGGTCATTTGTGCATTGGGTCACGTCAGGCGTGTGACGTCACTGACCTGACCCTGACCCAAAATGAACTACAAGAAACAACCGACGATGCCTGAAATGGATAGCAAATTCGAATTCAGGGCATCAAAATACCCCGAAAAGGCATACAAGTGTAAGAAGTCATTACAGGTCAACCGAGGTCACTGACCTTACCTTGACCTTTAGTAACCTTCAAAATGTCAACGGACATTGTGCCAATGTCAAATCAGCCAGTTGTGATTCTAAAACAATCCATCAGTGTGTCAGGTCAGTCGGCATTTATACCAATGTGAAGCAATCTCCAATTTAGCGTAAATCTGGCCGGAGGTTGTTCCCTTTATGACGTCATAACTCCGTGACCTGACATGACCTTGACAAAAAAATACCAAAAGTTGCGCAAAGGATGCCCCAGAGGGTACTGAAAATTTGAGCAGGCTATCTTAAACGGTTCGGCGTGTAGCTAAGAAAAACCTCAGGGGGGGGTGCACCTACCAACCCCCCTACAGGTGCACCTCAACCGGGCACAAAATAACCGCTCAACACAACCACAATGATATATAATCGTGGTATCGCAAAGTTTGACCTTCGATGACCTCACGTGATGTTTTTGACCTTAGCGAACAACGATCAAAGTACCTTCAAGAGACCTGTTTGCGAACCTCCCCATCGTGCGCGCTGCTTATATCCGCTGCTCAGTTTACGATATCATCTGGAGTGCAGATATCCACCCCCTATCCCCACCCCCAAACCTCGTTCGTTCACTGGCTTTGACCACCGTCCTTGCGTCACGTTAGATTTTTCAAGCAGAACTGCCGCAGGCTGCCGGTGCGGCCCACCAGCCAACTAAAAATTCTGGGAGTCGTCATCGACAAGAGCCTGTCGAGTGTCGATGGTGAAACACACTGCCAAGTTCATTCAGCTACTCTCCTTACGCAAAAAAGAACCAAGTGACACACTTTCCCCTCAAGTAATGACTGCACTCGTGACCTGACCTGGCCCGGCGAGGGGCGTTCGGAGCCCCTCGCCAGGATTCTGATGTGAGCGGCAGCCCTGGGCGGTTTCGCTTGGCGCGAGTATTTGGCAGCCCGTAAACCGAATTCGAGTGTTTTGTTCCGCGACACAATATAAAGTGCTTTGTGCATAATGTGCATTGTATCTCGGCTATACGGCTGACGGCTACCGAAACCAGACAAGTCTACAATCAAAGGTTCATGTAAATATGTACATACATGTACATAGAGTGGCCTAACGATCTGATGGGTGCTTGCCGTTGTGAAGTAGGTGTAATATTCATTGGGTTACTGGGTAAGTAATCCATCCCAAAAATACACGATTTAGCCGATAAGCATATGACAAGCATATTTGTCGTATAATCGTGATCTTTATTCAGCAACGCCAACACTGCTGATTTCATGTTGCAAACATCTTCGGAAAAATTTTACTTTTGTCACTTTTTAGTGTTATGAATACCAGCAAAATCAATCAACTGAGCGCCGTAGCTCATCTCGTTCTGCCTTCCAGCTATCCTTTTGTCAGCCAGTTGGGTTGTTTCAGTTGCACTGGGCGCGCTCCTGGTAGGGCCGCAGTCCGTCGATTTCGAGGACGCACCTCTCGCCCTTCCAGCAGCCGAACGTGCAGACAGGCATGCAGCGGCGCGCACAACCAATCTTGCAGCATTTCATACCGCACGCACAGTGGGTGTCATCGCGGCAGTGGCTCTCGCATTTTTCCTCACGCTGAGCTGTTGCCGCTGCTGCTCTGGATGATGGTTGAGGAAGTACAACCTTCACGTCCGCGGGACAGGTACCCTTCCGATAACCCGTGCAACACTGTCGGTTACACCCTGCCGAGGGAGAGGTTTGTGAACTTTCCAGATAACATGACGGTTTATAGGAATATTTTTTTTTAATGGTGCACCGCAGTCTATTTTTGTATGCATTACCCAAGTCGTTTGGAAACGCCATGAATACATGAACGGGTTGATGACACCAGACACATGTATTTATGTAGGTAGCAAGTGAGTAATAAGTAAGTTAAAATCACATCAGGCGCATTTATCAGCAGACAAACAGGAAAACCAGCGCGGCCAATCATGACGAATGACAATCTCCTCCAAGATTCTGTTTACTTTCAATTAACCAGACTCAATTATAATGAGGTTAGTGCTTGTGCTTGTCTTTTCTAATTTGAAACCGTTCGAAAAAGACCTTTGGTCGAAATATTACATTCTTTCAAATAAAGTACAAATATGTATATATTTGTACAGCATTAGTTTTGGTATAATTATCGAGGAAAAAAGGTCATGTTTTTACATTTTCTACTATTTATAGACTCAATTATACCTTTTTGGCAATAGCAAACAACACACTGTGCCGAATATCGCCCTTAACCCGCGCCCCGTTGAGGTCTGGCAGATTCCACGTCCTGTTGGGGAGGGGGGGGGGGCAAAGGGGCCCCCGTCGTATCTCCGGAACCAATAGCCGGATCGGAAAAATTCAAGCGGCATTTGAAAGAGCTCAGCGAGGTGCACAAGATAGCATATCGATGACCTTGATATGCTGGGACCTATTTTTTCAGGAGTTGTGTAAAATTGATGTCCGGAGAGGTAGGTACTGAAAGTTTCAAGTCGAAATTCGCAGCCGTTTCTGAGTTATCTGCGAAAAACCATAGGACAAAGGCACACTACCTGTGCCTTTGGGCCCCCAACGGGTCACGGGCTAGATAAGCTTATGAATTGAAGGTATTTGTTGAGAAAGACACTTGGTGTAAACTTGGTCAAATTTGGTGCATTCGCCAGATAGCTCGTCGTGAAAACGGCTAATAGGTTTTCCAAGTGGATTAGAAATGAGAGATGATTGAAAACTGACCAATTTAACCCAAAAACCCTGTTACGTGTATTGGGAACAATGCTCATGTGGATTTTCAATATCAAGGTCCTAGTCCTTTCAGAGATATTGCTCATCATGTGAGGTAAAGTTAGCCAGAGCTTGCTGTGCTGCAACTTACACTCGTTGGCGGCCGATACCGCGGACGCCAACAGCAGCACGACCACGACAGTCTTCATGGCGTTTGTTGGGTGGACGGAGCGAGCTCTTCTGTTTTGCACAGCTAAAATGGTCTCATTTTATACCGATTGCCGCCCACCTCGCGGGGGCTGACACTGACAGCCTGTCGCAGTCGGTCACAGCGCTAGGTGGAGGGTGACGACATAGGTCACACAACACCAGTGCTACTCAGCTTCGTACTGCGTCAAACTTTCTGTGAAAAAAGAAACAAAATACGGTTGCACCAGTGCAACCGTGTTTTGTTTCTTTTTTTTTAACACTTCACAGTTGTGAAGTGTTCTTTGTCCTTAAGCATTGATGGTAACAAGCTTATATATGATCGTGACTACTTCTTTTGAACATGAGTTAGACTACATATAAGTCGTAGCGATATAAATGTAATGAGCAGCTTAAAATGGCTTTTTTATCAGACCTTCAATATCTTTTTTTCAATTTCATAACCCTCGCCCGGCGATGGGGGGGGGAGTGATGTACCCACCTAAGGTTTTTCGTAAAAAGCTTTAAAACGGCGGCTCGTAGCGCCACCAAATTAGGCATACCCTCTGGTGCAACCTTTTGACACCTTTCCTGAAAATTTCTGGACTCAGTCCTTGCAGGTCAGGTCACTAGGTCACAAAAGCTGGTACAAGTTCAGGTTAAAATTGGACTTGTTTTGCGGCAACGGAATGAGTCTGACATAGTTTTTCGTTAAAGTGGCTATCCCACCTTAACATTAGTTTTTAGTTAATGTAGCCGAATTGGGGTCCCTGGCTTGCACTTACCGGTTAGGGCATTCACAACATCGAGAAAGGCTTTAATTCGGAGATATTTAATCTCAAAGTTGCAGCGCTTTGGATTTAGAGGGTCTAATGCATTTGAATGCCCCCTCTGAATTTGTGACGTCAGCGTAGATCTAGCGATTTTAAAATCTTATGTTAGCATCTTTATGAAGCAGCGATGGTATATGCTGTTTGCGAGCAACATCTGCCGCATTTTAAAGGTGCAAATTATTTCTCCCAAGTGACGTCCTAGGAACAGCGAAGGCTCCGAAAAATAAACAGAAATAATTGTCTAATATTAAAAAAAAAACGTTTCAAATATTTTTCAATTAAATTTGTTAGATATTCATTTTTGCTCACTCTGATCCATGCGACACCACTTTTATGCCAATTGATGAACTTTTTTAAGGTGGGAGGGTTCCTTTTATAGCGTGAGAGCCGTGGTACGTAGCGCCACCAAATTTTAATCATAACTTTGGGCATTTATTGAATTCAGTATTACCGTTATACGTGCAGTTTATTTAAATAAATCACTCGAATAGGTGTGGTGTAAGCTCGTCAGTGGTTTTGTGAACTTTGGGGCGCGGCGTGATGCGACGATTCTTTGGGGCTGGGCTGCAACATGAGTTTGACATTCAGCTCGATGACAGCAGTGACGACAGCGGTGGCGTCTATCCGGTCCCCCTATCACCGTCACAACGCTCGGGGAATACCTGCCACGAAAGTGGCGGCCCACATAAAATACAGAGGCGTATGTTTTTGCCATTTCACCATCGGAATTATTTAGGGAGGGGTAGGATGAACCCCCTCGGTTATTTGATGACCCTGACCCAAATGACCTTTGACCTCTGACTTCTACGTAGTACATCATTTTGACCCTCACTCGGTCAGGGGGCTGATTTTTCAGCTCCCCATAAGGTTTTTGGTAGATAGCGTAAGATGGTGGCGCGTAGCGCAGCCAAATGTGGCATACCACTATAAATATGGAGCATTGTTTTGAAACATTTTTTACAGAATATTTCAAGTCTTAAAAAGTTAGTTTATTTGAAGATAGGTCAAATAAGCATAATTGTAGTTGGAAACATGTTTTAGGAGTGCATCGTCTAAAATAATGCCACGCCTTCTCGTTCTGTCACCGCCATGTTCGGGGCCGGGCGATACTGTGATGGGAGCTGTTCGGCGGCACTCGACTGTGGAGGGAAAGTGTGTGGACCGTTAGTGAAGAGGCCGCTAGGCACATGGATAGAAGAGAGGGAGAGAGAGAGAGAGAGAGAGAGAGAGAGAGAGAGAGAGAGAGAGAGAGAGAGAGAGAGAGAGAGAGAGAGAGGGCGACGAGCGCCCTCTGTAAACGCCAGACCGTTGACTCAGTCGACTCCAGCCGTACTCGGGCGAAGCACCGATCGGAATGATAGTGCGGGGCGCTTTACAAAGCCGGTGCACAGCAGGCCGTGCTTACAAGGAAGCGGCGTTTGTGACTGTTGTGCAGCCGGCTTAATTTGTGTGTGAGGAGTTGGGTGAGCTATGAGGTGGTCCGACAAGCGATCCTCACTTAATCATCGGATATTCACATTCAGGTACGTGCGAGAGGCCGAAATCTAGAAAATGTACATACGCGAAAATAGACATACGCGGCACATCGATGTCTCCTGATTTGGTGTATTTTAACGCATTCTTTATGCTTTATTCTTCTTTTTTATTGTTTAGTCTTTCAGAAAACACATTTATTTTCTTTCATTTAGTGCAATAATTTTTTTCGAATTTCGAAAAACGGAATACATGTGATAGGCCCTAGGTACCGCCTTCTATCCACATACCAAATTTTAGATCGATGCCTCTTTTTTTGGCCAAGCTATAGCAAAAAAAAAACTGTTCAAAATTGATGACGTCAAATTTTCAAACTCAATTTTGGGCAATTTTATACCTCGTAGCGTAAAACAAAGACCACCATTACCCTCCCCGTGACGAGCTGCATCGAATTGATACCCACGTTATGCAAAACTATGAACTTTGAAATTTGACCTTTTTTGACCTGACTTTTTTTTATAAATTTAGCTCGAATGTTTGAATGGACGGATTGACAGAGCCGAAGCCCACGCTAAGCAGAGCTTGTTGCGTAGACCCCGACCCCTACCGTCCGATCGCGCAATTCCGGGTAACGGGAGAATTTAGATGCCAAAGTTTAACGTGCCCTTCAAAGCCGGACACGGCCTGTCCCACTCAACTGACTTCAACTGGCTGCGGCTGCTCCCACCAACCGCAGACCATCCCCGTCAGGAGTCTCAAATATCGAGCGCCGGAGCGTCTCGAACCCGGGCTCTCACTACCGGGAGTCCAATGCTCTACCAACTGAGCTACGGGACCTTGACCTGACCTCCACCAGAAAGTGACCTAAACCGTACCTGATGGTTTTATAACCAACACCATTGAGTTGGAAATGAAAAATTGGCCATAAAACATGCATCGCACAACCTTAGTAAAGTTGGGTTCATGTGATGACCCTTGGTGACCTGACCTGTGACCTGACCTGGTATTATCAGTGACCTCTTATAGCATCATATGTACTAGGCAACTGACGCCCTATCGCTGGTTTTCGCCAAAATACGTTTTACTCGGTGTTAACTTATGGCGCATTCCCTACAAGACCCGTGAACGGTGAAACATCTTATCTTTGACCTGCCCTGTGACGTCATCGGTAACCCCAAGGTCAATGAAATTTGGTTTTCTTCAACAAATTTGACAGGTCTATCGAACGCCGTTTGAATTTTACGGATCCGTCCAGTAGTTTCGGAGATACAGGGGGCAAAAAAATCCCCCCTCCCACCGCGCGGAAGGTGGCCGCGAGGATTCCCGGATGAAAAGTCAAAACGTTAAAAGTAAACGGATAAAAAGTCAAAGGACTGCATCGATTCGATACCCTTTTTATGCAAAATATCAACTTTGAAATTTGACCTTATTTGACCTGACCTTGACCTGACCTTGACCTGACCTTGACCAAAACGTGACCTAAGCTGGCCCCAAAGGCTGCCTGACCCACATAATCGCATATGTCATGTAAAATGGACCATAAAACATGTATCAGACGACACTTTCATATTGTGACCCCCCGTGACCTGACCTCTGTGACCTGACCTGGTATCAATGACCTCAAATAGCAAAATATGTGTTTGAAGAACATTTCCCCATCGATGATTTTCAATGAAATGCATTTTACTCGATTGTACAAGTTACAACGCATTTCTTGAAATGCCTGTAAACGGTGAAAATTGGACCTTTGACCTGACCTGTGACGTCATCGGTTTGACCTAGGTCAATAAAATTGGGTCACAAGGTAGTTCCCTGATAGGGCTATCCAACACCGTTTGCCGCTTGTCGCTAGGTTGCGTGGTTCTCGAGATCTTAGGGGGGGGGGGCCAAAATGCCCCCCCCCAACGGGGCGCGTTGCTCGGCAGAGCCCAACGGGGCGCGGGTTAATTGTATGCAGTCCGTACCTTTCGATGAAAATTGGTCACCTTAATTGTATGCAGTCCGTGAATATTTAGGTTGTTGTCTGTTGATGCTGATATGAGCGTTCCTTTCAAGGCAGGACAATCCGACAATCACACAATTGCCTCTCGTTCCAACTTCCACCTATCTAAAAGAAACGACGCGCTTTACTATTGTACCAATTGTACCATACAATACGCTTGAACTATAATAAAAGTCTGAAATCGCTAATAGAACCCGTGACGGAATCAATTGATGAGAAACGTCTCCCTACACAATATAGGAATTTTGAACAAGCGAACCTTTCGTATCGATAACATTCCGGGTTACCTACTATATTTGTTGAAATGATTCCAGTAAACTGCGCCTGGGACAGCTAGTTGTCTCAAAGGATCATGTAACGCTGCCTCATGACAACCTTACGATGCGAGCGAGCTCCCACCTAGCACGTAAGTGTCAACGGATGTGTGTCAGATTTCAGCCAAGCGTGCCCGTGTGACCAGCTGAGTCGCGGTTGCGGGCCATGGGAATCCCCATCCGTCGCGCAATGGAGGCAGTCTCGCTTCAATGTCCAATGATGCAGGTTATATTGTGCAGCGTCCTGCTTAATTGTGTACAGCTGTTTGTAAATGTTATCTCATGTATGTAATGACTGATGATCCAGGTGTCATTGACTTTGTCTCTTTGACTTGTCCTTTTGAGTTTTTGGATTTTGGCTTTTTTCCTTTGGATTTTTCGTAATTTGACTTTATGTCCTGTTGACTTTTCGTCTTTTGACCTTTGTCCTCTTCACTTTTTGTCCTTTTGACTTTTTTTGTCCCTTTGATTTTTTTGTCCTTTTGACTTTTTGGACTTTGACTATATGTCTTTTTGACTTTTTGACCTTTTGACTTTTTATTTTGACTTCATGCCCGGTTGACTTTTTTTTTACTTTTTGTCCTTTTGACTTTCTGTCCTTTTGGTTTTTTGGATTTTGACTTTATGTCCTGTTCACTTTTTGTCTTTCGACTTTTGTCATTTTTACTTTTTGGCAATTTGACTTTTTGCCGTTTTTACTTTTTGTCTTTTGACCTTATGTCCATTTGACTTTTTGTCTTATGACTTCTATGCTAGTTGACTTTTTGTTCATTGAATTTTTGGCAATTTCACTTTTTATCTTTTGACGTTTTATCCTTTTTGACTTTTTGCCTTTTGACTTTCCTCTTTGTTGACCTTTTACCTATTGACTTTTAAGATTTTTGACTTCTTGCTTTTGACGTAATGTCTGTTGACTAATCATCCTTTTACCTTTTATCATTTGACTTTTTGTCCGGAACCCGGCCGCGAGGCCCACCGCCTGCCGGGTTAAACGTCTAGTAGGAAAACATTTCGTCTAGTCTGAAATATGTCGCATTTTTTACATAAAATGTATTTTTTACCTTGAAGTGCCCGAAAGATACCGGCGGTACGGGATAAAATCATTAAACCGCTCGAAGGTAGAAAAATCTTTTAAACGCCTCGCCTATCGGCTCGACGTTTAAAAGATTTGTTCTACCTACTCGCGGTTTAATATGCATTAACCTTCGTGGACCTCGGCTGACTTTTTGTGTTACTACAGTACATACTTTAGGGTAGTTTTTTAGCTGACTATTCGGTCAGCATTCAGTAAAGAAATTGCGAACTTTTTTGAGCCTACATAGTGTCGAGCATGTCGGTGGTGGTACATTGGTACACACCTGTTCGATCCAGAGGAAGGTCTCCTGACCTGCCCTACCCAAAATGCACAATTACATCATTTTTTTTAGCAAACCAAATGTCTAATTCGTAGTAAGCTCCCAAAATACCCGAGAAATCCTCACTTTATAAATTTCTAACAAATGCCGACTTTTCTGGCATTTGTGTTATTTGCCTGGTCAGAAAGGTCATTCAATGACTTAGGTCAAGGTATTTGGTACCATTTTTTTTCTCGTCGCGAGCAATACGCTCGTTTTTTTCACGAAGCTCTAACTCGATCGACTGAAACAATATTTTCAGTTCTTCAGTTTCATTGAACACGTGTTTGGAGCTATCGAGCAAAGTACTACCGATTTTAATATCCTAATTCTATATGAACTGCCAAATGTTCGCTTTTTCCCTTATAGTTTCAAAGTACTTGCATTGTAAGATGTATTTTAAATATTCACAGGCTTCTGGTGGCAGCTGCATCAGTTACATGCATAGTCTACTTAGTGCATCTCAGCGACATCGAGCCAATGAGAAGGAGAATTTATAACAGCAACAATAACACCGTCTATGGTAAGTATTCGTTAGAACGGTGTATCAAATAAACTAGCTGCTATAGCTCTATCTTTGATTTTTTTTTTTTTGAGGAAAGGATACTTTTATTGGAAGTTCCCATAAAAACAGACCCTTTTATTTTGCCTCTGAGAAGTCTTAGAATTATGATATCGAGATCAGGGGGGGGGGACTCGAGGTCTAGTTCCTACTAGACTGGCAACCCCACGGCTGACGTCACGTTTCCCCTGCGTGACGTCAAGGGGTCACTGCCCCCGTGACATTGACCCCTTGAAGCATGCGATATTTGACGGCGACTGCAAGACAAACTGAGCACAACTTGTATATTCAATGCTGCATGTATTAGCCGTTTTCACGACGGGCTTTCTAGGGATGCACCTAATTTGAACAAATCTGCACCTAATCTCTTTTATAACAAATATCTTCATATCATGAATTTATTTGTTTTTGGCCTTGTATGTTTTAGGACCTCGATGTAGATGATTACTTCATATAAGCTAAAAGGCAGTCCCATGCTAGTTTGTTTGATACAAGTCTTGCTCACTTTCAGTATAAGTGCAGCAAGGACGCGTTGAATAATATGCATGTTGACCTTGAGCTCACGTGACCCGAGGTCAACTCCAGACGTGCACGGATCCCAGACAACCGAACACGAAAATTGAGATGACTATTAATTTATTGGTCTTCAAGCGTGGAATTATTGTGGAAAACATTGCTTATGAAGGCCCCCAGATGACCTAACATTCTTGCACTTGTTCAAAGTTGACAGTTCTTAGAAAATCCCACGAGATCTATCTGGGATCCATGATCCCGTAGCATGATCCCGGATCATGGATCCGAGATGGGTGTCGTTGGATTTTCTGAGAACTGTCAACTCTGAAGGAATGCAAAGAAGTTAGTTCGTTGGGAGGCCTTTATAAGCAAATATTTCCACAATTCCATACTGATGGCCATCTCGATTTTTGTGTCTGATTGTCTAGGATCCGTGCGCATGTCTGCTTTTGACCTTGACCTTTCGAGGTCAAACGTTATATATTTCGACGTGGATTGACGATTCTATCTCGATTGTACTATGAGTTTTGCGATAGCTTCATTTGCAAAAAAAATATTTTGGCCCCGTAAGCCGCTAGTTTGATTATTTGGATCCCTGTGACGCCATTTTTTAACCTGACCTGAGAATGACCTCTGTTTAAATTGTAGCCCTCACGTTTGGCGTGGGAGGTCCTTGGATCAAAGCTGACCTCTGGCAGCGTTTTCCCCGGCCGGCTCCTACCCAGGAGATGGCAGTAGCTGGGGAGTGTTCGCTCGGTCGTGGGGATTACCGCCGTGCCAGCCAGCGCCCCCGGCCGCAGGTACACGGGCCTGATCCGCCTTTTTAAACAGATCCTTCGGTCCGGTGACATGTCCCGAGGGCACGGCCTCGCTTCATGTCCCGGAGCAGCCCTCTGACCTGCCGGGCCCGAGAAATCGGGATAGCCCCAGCGTGCGCACCAGTGCGGTGCCACCTGGGGTGCGTGACAGGAAGCGTGCGGTCAAGGCTGTCCCGCGTAGCGGGTGCCGAAAACGATTCGTACCACTGCCGTGTATATAGTGTACTAACCCAGTATGAATGTGTGCTACTAACGACAAAAAGCCCGGGTCGGGCACCAAAAATATTTTTTAAAAAAATGTAGCCCTGGTCCGTCCGTATACGTTTACAGCTTGTCGCCTTTCTCGTTTCCGAGATCTCAGTGGGGCGGGTATCAGCGGGGCGGGTATCAGCAGGGCGGGTATCAGCAGGGCGGGTATCAGCAGGGCGGGTATCAGCGGGGTGGGTACACTGAAAGAAAAGTACACCTTGGTAAGTTGAATTTGATTATTATACACCGCCATTACACCGAAATCAAGAATATTTATACCCTTGTTCGACGCATATGGAGAATAAAATAATGCTCCGGTGCGAATGTACTCTATCACGAGCGTATTCTTGGGGGTTAATTCAATCCAGTTTAACACTCATAGTGCAATTCTAACTTTTGAGACATTTACCCCTCTAATTGATGGATGGTAAAATTACTACTATAGTGTATTTTCTTCAAGTGGGATAAGAATACCCATCTGATAGCATAAATTTGCACTCTGATTTGTCACCTGATAATTCAACCCTCATCATGGTGTAAATATGCATCCTTGGTAAAGTGTGTTTCGATGAGGATGGTGTTATTTTATGACAAGGATTTAAAATACCCTAAACATGATAGTTCTGCACCCATATGCTCATTATTTTACGATAGCGTCCACGTGCGGCGCGCGAGCCTTCCGTTTCCGCCATTTTTATTTTTGTGTCTGCTCCTGACCGGAGCCACGGAGACTTCTGGCGCTTGCAAGTGATCTTCTGGCGGTTGAAACAGTGAGATAGGTGCGAGTGTGCTGGTGCGTTCGTTCGGTGTGGTGATGACTGACTAGTGCTGGACCCATTTCCGAATAACTTTGAGGGTAAGTTGACTTGATAATGTTTCGATGTAGCAGTTGATGAAATTGATTTGCTGCTGTCTGTATGAACGTCACTCACTTAGCTGTTTGTGTCAATACGTGGCATTCTGATTAGTGATTCCAGAAGCTCAAATTGACCCTCTCAGTTTGTTCTCAAGGGCAAATTGAGAAATCAGTTAAGTACCTACTGAGGTTGTTAACTGTAACTTCATCAAATGTTCAATGTGTCGATTGATCAATATATGTTTAGGTATGTTTAGTAATTTTATTTCTCTACGTTTTACAAAAGTACTAGAATCTTGGCCTGAAAAAGTTGCTAATTTATTTTGTGTATTACTTTCAGGTTTGGGGTGACCTGGCTCTCGTCGTGGGTCACGCCGGCGAGAATGGCATTAGGACAAAGTCACCTCAATGACGCGACAGGCGTGCTACACCGCACAACTCCTGCCTCCGGAGGGCGCCACACCCGTTGAAGGTGAGTTTTAAACTACCATTAATGATGACTGACGACAATTGTCCGTCTGTCCGTCTGTCCGTCTGTCCGTCTGTCCGTCCGTCCGTCTGTCCGTCCGTCCGTCCGTCCGTCCGTCTCGCCTGTCTCATTCATGGGCTCCGCCACCGGGGGGACGTGTCCCCCAATATTTTACATTTGTCTGTTTCGTCTGTCTCGTCTGTCGGTCCGTCCGTCCGTGACATACAATATCGCTCTGTACTTAAATGTTACAGTGCTTACTAGTTATATCTTTCAGCATGGGCGTAACCACCGGGCTGGAACGCTGGAAATTCCAGCCCATTTTTGGGATGCTGAAATGCCGCCCCCGGTAGAGGAAGTCTACAATTGCGGGACTCGCGGACTTCAAAACGATGAGCAAAAGAAACGGCACTGCTCGGTCCACTATACGCCTGACCTCAACGTACCGCTCCTCACTACTCGTGCCCTTTACACGCCGCCCCTCCCAGATGTCCTTCCGCCCCCCGCACCGACTCCCCCTCAAGTTCCTCGGAGCTCTCTATGTGCCGCCCCTCACAGAACCCCGTCGCCCTCAATGTGCCGCCCCTCCGCATAATGCTCTATCGCCGCTGTGCCGCCCTTCCCAGATGACTTGCCGCCCCTCCCCAGAGTACCTCGGCGCTCTCTATGTGCTGCCCTCGCCACAACTTCCCGCCGCCCTCAATAAGCCGCCCCTCCCCACAATGCTCTATCGCCATATGTGTTCCCCCCCGAAGTGCCTCGGCGCCCTCTATGTGCCGCCCCTCACCACAAAACCCCGCCGCTCTCAATGCGTCGCCCCTCCCCACAACGCTTTACCACCGTCTGTGCCGCCCTCCATAGACGCCTTGCCGCCCTCCCCACAGTACCTCGGCACCCACTATGTGACGCCCCTCGCCACAACAACCCACCGCCCTCAACACGCCGCCCCTCTCCAAAATGTTCTATCGCAGTAGCGCCGCCCTCCCAAGGCACTTTGCCGCCGCTACCTGCCGCCCCTCCCCAGACGCCTCTCTGCCCTTACCAGACTTGTGACAGCTCAAGAAAAAAGTGAGCTCGCTCAGCTCAACTCCGTCTTATCCGCTCCCGCTCAGCTCCCGCTCAGTTTAACGCGGCTCAGCTCAGCTCACGTTCCGCTCAAACCGGCTGCGCTCCGCTCACGCTCAGCTCAGCTCAGCTCAGTTTCCGCTCAGCTCAGCTCAGCTCAGTTTCCGCTCAGCTCAGCTCAGCTCAGTTTCCGCTCAGCTCAGCTCACCTCAGTTTCCGCTCAGCTCAGCTCAGCTCAGTTTCCGCTCAGCTCAGTTTCCGCTCAGCTCAGTTTCCGCTCAGCTCAGCTAAGCTCAGCTCAGCTCAGCTCAGCTCAGTTTCCGCTCAGCTCAGCTCAGCTCAGCTCAGTTCCCGTTCAGCTCAGCTCAGTTTCCGCTCAATTCAGCTCAGCTCAGGCCTCAGTTTCCGCTCAGAAAAAATTTACCGACGAAAAAATGTACAGACGAAAAAAATGTGAGACGAAAAAAGTCGGACGAAAATCTGCGGACGAAAAATTGTCTGACGAAAATCTTCTAGACGAAAAAAAACGTCATGGAATCATCTCAACTAGGCGGTGTTTCACGGCCGAGAGCAGCACGCCCACGCCGCCATCCGCTCTTGGCACCATGCCAGGAGCTGACGTTACATTTTGGGGTAGTGTTGGAACTTGGAGATAAGTTTGTTTATATCTCCATGGAAACCCCATTTGACACGTGTGATAGCAGCGTGCTGTTATCAGTGAAACCTATAACACCACCCTGATCTCAACCAAGGCAATGTCAACACTATTAGAATTCATAGTCGGCGTGTGAATAAGGGAGCTTTTCCCATGTAATGGACATCTGAAGGTGAGAGTTCCAGTTAGCGCCTCTGCCCCACCCCACTTTCAATAGGATATGGTTGCTTAGCCCACATTCAACCAACGAAGAGGAACTTTATTTGCTAATTCCTAATTGTAAATACTTTATGCAGAGGTAAGAACCCTTATTGATAAAATTAATTTAAATAACTG